TTTTGACAGTAAGAGTTGTTCAGCAGTGGAATCAGCTGCCTAGGGAGGTGGTGAGCTCCCCCGCACTGGCAGCCTTTAAGCAGCGGCTGGACAAACACTGGTCAGGGATACTCTAGGCTGATTGAGCAGGGGGTTGGGGTTGAGCATTGGGCAGGGGGTTGGACTAGATGGCCTGTATGGCCCCTTCCAACTCTGTGATTCTATGAACTCCACTCGCATCAGCTAATCCAAACGCATTTCCCAGCACTATTAGTAGTGCCATAAAAGTAGAAAAACGAATTTAAAAAAATTACATCTCCCCCCTGTTCCCCAGAACAGGAGCCTGATTTTTGATTGGCAAAACTGAATGGAGGTTGAAGGGTTAAATTCCTTCTTGCCCTCCCATGCGGGGCTGCTTTGAATCACAGCTGTGGACATGCACAATTTATCCTCAAGTGGACTGATGGTCATGAGACAAGTGGTCTTTCTGTCATGTCTGGGAAAGCCCTGTGAAGCTCACAGGTTATGCTCTGAACGAGTAAATGTCTGAGGGAGGTTTTCTGGTCTCCATGCGGGAAAAATCTCCACATGCAAGAATCCTTGTGTCCAGAAGAAAAACACTCCCTGGAGTATGGAAGATTGAAAGAAGGACGGTAGTCATATCTAGTAGGATAAGATGAAAACTGGTCCCGCAATGACACCTTGAGGCTCTCAGTAGTACTGCACCCTTTTTCAATAAGGGATTGAGATTAGTATATTATATGGCATTGTATGTGGTATAGCCATGAGATCCTAAAATTGTTTGGCAGTCTTAAATTCTAGCCCTTTTAGCATTATGCACCACTAGAACCAGTTTGGTATAACAGTTAAGAGCGCAGACTCTAATCTGGGAGAACCAGGTTTGATTCCCCACTCCTCCACATGCAGCTGCTGGTGTGACCTTGGGTCAGTCACAGCTCTCTCAGAGCTCTCTCAGCCCCTCCTCCCGCACAGGGTGCCTGTTGTGGAGAGAGGAAGGAAAGGAGATTGTAAGCCACTCTGAGACTCCGAGTGAAGGGCAGGGTATAAATCCAATTTCTTCTTCTAGGTGGTCAGCTAGACTTATTTTTCAAGGGCTGAGAGAGCTCTGAGAGAGCTGTGACTGACCCAAGGTCACCCAGCTGGCTTCATGTGGAGGAGAGCAGGACTGAGTCCAGTTCTCCAGATTAGAGTCCGCCGCTCTTACCCACTACACCAAACTGGCTCTCAGGACTGAGATTTAAATTGTGTAATGCGGCTGTGCGGCATATTATGTGCTAGTGTCAAGGACAGGGCCTTATGTAGTTTGTGCCACAGAGTCCATATACATAATTGTCCTCCTACTCTTCTTCCAAGAAAATAAGGGCAGCATACATTGCTCCCCTTCGTTTAACCTCACAACAACCTTGTGAGGTGGGCTAGGCTGAGAGGTCACCCAGAAAGGTTCATGTGGGGGTTTGAACCCAGGTCTCTCCAGCCCAATACTCCTTTCTCCATGCTGCTGCTGTGCATGTTCTCTCTCACTCTCTTTCTCCCACAGCTAAAAATCCAAATGACATAGTGGCTGAAATGATCTGTGCTTGGGTGTCTTCTCCTTTCTGTCCTGCATAATAATAATTATCATAAGGCAGTGTGTGTAGTATAGCTGGGAGATCCTAAGATTGCCTGGCAGTCAGAGGTTCTAGCTCTGTAACCTTATGCACCACTAGGTGGCAAACTAGACTTGTTTTTAAGGCAAGAGACGTTTCAGAGGTGGTTTGCCATTGCCTGCCTCTGTGTCATGCCCCTGGTATTCCTTGGAGTTTGCCCTTCCAAATACAAGCCAGGGCCGACCCTACTTAGCTTCTAAGATCTGACAAAATCAGGCTATCCTGGGCTATCCTGGTCAGGGCTGCATCTATTAACTATACTTACAAGCAGGGCTCTTTTGTAGAAAAAGCCCAGCAGGAACTCATTAGCATAATAGGCCACACCCAACAGCAGAAACTCATTAGCATATTGGGCCACATCCCTGACAGCACAGCTCATTAGCACATTAGGCCGCACCCACATGTTACCAGGTGTGGTCATCCAGCCACACCCACCTTTTGCTTGTTATTCTGTTTACCTTGTTTGTTGTCAAAACCCAGGACCTTTTTTGTAGCAGGAACTCCTTTGCATGTTAGGCCACACACCCCTAATGTAGCCAATCCTAATGAGTTTCTGCTGTTGGGTGTGGCCTATTATGCTAATGAGTTCCTG